GGTGTCCTGTATGCATCTACAATTTGTATATCCATTTCCTTTTTTATTTCTGAAAAGTTTTCTATAATTATTTCATTCAGCAGGTTGCTCATTCCCTTGGTTTGAACCTCTTTACCTTGCTCTATCCCAAAGACTCTTAAGTTTGGTTTTTTTATGCTATCCCGGATCTCTTGGGTGTTTTTCTTGTAATTTTTTACCAGCCTTTCTGAGTTGGCTAGACTTTTTTCAAGATGATATATTTTGTCTTCATTATCTGACGTTCTGGCTTCTACTTGCTCCACTCTGTTAGTGATACTCTCATTTGAGTTTTTAGTTTGACTATTCTGATCATGGTTGCTTCTTTTCTTTTCTTTAATACTTTCTGAATGTTTAAGGTTGGGCACTTTTTCTTCCAGTTTTGAGATTCTGTTTTCACTATGGTCTACTATTAGAGATACTTTCAACTGAACATTTTATTTATTTATTTATTTTCGTGTGTGTTTTATTTTCAAGATTTCTGTTTGTTACTTTTTCAATATTTCTATCTCCTTATTGAATTTCTCATTCATATTACATACAAACATTCTTAATTCATTCAGTTGTTTTTCTGTGTTCTTTTGAAATTCATTGACCATTTTTATAATCTTTCTTTTGAATTCTTTATGTGATATTTCATTTAGTTCCATATCTTTGGGGTCAGATGCTGGTGAATTATGAACTTTAGGAAGTATCATGTTACTTTGTTTTTTTCACATTTCTTTTCTTCTTGTGTTGAGTTTTATGCATCTGTTGGAGGTATTTCTTTTCTGCTCTTATGTGTGAGCCTTTGTAGGGCACACTCTTCACTTGCCTAAGTGCTCTAGAGTGATCTAAGTTGAGATCCCTCCTCATAGTTGTGGTTTTCCACAATGTCATCCACGGCCGTAATAATTGCAACAAAATGAATGGTGGGGACAGGAATTGTACAAACCAATAAGTTCTAAAAGATGATAAAGACATAGTTCATTAAGAGATAATAAAGTGTGATAGAAAGGTAGAAGAGATGTTTTATAAATGAACAGAGAGAACATAGAAGATGTAGCAGGTAATTGTTATAAGGAAGGAGAAAAAAATAGGAAAAACAAAGTAAAGGGAGGGAGAAAGAACAAGAGAATGTGTTAGCAAGAGAATAAAAGAAAGATAAATGAGAAGAAAAACAGAAGAAAGCAAAAATAAACAACACCAAAATTCTAACCTACAAAAATCAAAATCAAAAACAAAACAAAAAGCTACATAATAAAAATGCTAAAAATGAGAAAAAAGAAACAAATATGTATATATGTCCCTGAACCAATCAGCAGTAGTAAGACCACCAAAAAAATTAAAAGGGAAAAAAATTTCTTCATGAAAAATGAAGTAATCATCTCCACTGAGGTGATCAAAAGAGTTGACAAGAATGGATGGTCATTGCCTATGCCTAATTGTCCTTCTTTCCATTTCTTCTTGGGCTATATACTTACAGAGAGGTGAGGGGCGACCGAGGTACGGAGCGTGATTGCATGAGTGTAAAGAGGTAAGGGCTGGGGATTGTTAACCTCTTCCTCTTTTTGTATTGCTTACTGAGCTTCCAGTTGGTATGTCTAGGACTGAAGCTAGTTGAAACACCTCTCAGCTTCCCTTCTTACCAGTATGAGGTGGGATGAAGAGGGAAATACTGTCAAGTGGAGTTTGTTCTGCACAGACTCCAGACTGATGCACTCTCGGGGTGGGGCTGCTGCAGAGTTCTCTGAGGGGAGTTCCAGGGGTTAGGACTTAGGTCTAATCAGGCCTTAGGTGTTCTGGCGTGTGGTATGTGCTCTGGAGAGTTTAGATCAACATACCTCTAGGGCTCTGCAGTTGCCAATCTCTGCTTGGGGTCTGGATCTCAGGAGCCTCCCAGTAATTCTTCCCATGAAACAGGGGAGCCCATCCTCCACACACTCTGCTGCCCACACACACAGCCTTTCTAAGCTTAAACCCTGAGTGTACTCACACCCACGGGTTCAGATTCTCAACCCTCTTCAACTGGTCACATGGGCTGCCAGACTGCAAGGAAAAGCAAGTCCCCTTTCATTTTATTTTTCTAACTTGAATCCCCAGGGTATCCTCTTCTCTGTGCCTGTTTCACTCACATTCTGCTGGGTACACCCTATGCCACACAGTAGGTGCTTGCTGGGTGGTCTGGCAACGCACTCTGTGATCTCCTTAGCTCCAGCATCAGCAAGCAGCAGCATGGCCTTCTCAATATGGCTCCAGCTTTAGCTCCACAGCAGCCAGCTGAAAGACACAGAGCATTTTTCAAACACCAGTTTGTGGTGCAGCTTCTGGATCAGGTAGGTTCAAGATGCTTTTCTGATCTACAGGTTTTTCTGTACTAAATCTTCTTGCCGTTTCTCTCTGTGTGTTATCCCTCCCCTCTGTGGTAAGCCAAGGTTGCTGCCACTGCTGTCGCTGCTGCTGCAATTGGCTTGGCTCCAATGTCCTCTTTCTTCTTTGTTCAATACACCCGAATCTCTAAAATTTTCTGAATGTCCAATATTGAATTTTAGTGAAATCCCTCTTTCATCCACCTTGCTGAGAAGGGGTACTCTACTGTTTGCTTCCCAAACCATGGAGCAACTAGGGATGCAGCTTTCATCTGATGTACCACCTTGAACCCCCCTTATCTTTTATTTTGAGACAGGGTCTCACTAAATTGCTAAGGTTGGCCTCAAACTTGTGATCCTCCATCCTCAGCCTCCTGAGTTGCTGGAATTACAGATGTACACCACAGTGCACAACTGTCACTCTGTTTTATTTCCTATTTTAAAGGTCTTATTTATTTGCTAATATGTTAATCATCAATTATGCCCCACACTCTATAATGTCTGCTTTCATTCCATGAGCAATGTAAGCCAAGAGGTCTGGGAGTCATTTTTCAAACCTTCTTTTCTTTGCTGTCTCCTACAACTTTTTTTTCCCCCCAAATCATCTGCTAATCTTGACAGTTCTAATTCTAAATGTGTTGGGAACTCTCTTAATGTCCCCTGCTGTTGTTGTAGCTCCAGGCTACCTTGACACTCACTGGACTGCAGTCGCTTCCTGTTGGCTGCCCCACTTTCACTGTAGCCCTTCTCCAACCCCTTCTGAACACAGGGCCTGGAAAAAAAAGAGCTGATAAAAATACAGGTCATGTTGTTCAGGGCCTGACATATTTGGCTTTTTTATAGTATTAGCTTAACAAATGTCCATAAAGAAGCAAATGAGCAGAGAGAATGAACTGATATAACGTCTTTTCCAGTCACATCTTACAGAGATGGCTGGTGACAATTAGTAGGTCACAGAGCTACTACATGTGAGATTTGGTGCTAAGTGCAATTTTTCTGAGAATGGTCAAATGTTTATCTATAGAAAGCATGCTGCCATAGCTCTTCATTCCTTCTCACTCCAAAAAATGAGCAGCATTTAATTTTAACTTTAATGTATAATCATTTAAATTGTGATTGGAAGATTGATTCCCATTTATTATATATATATATACACACATATATGTATATATATATACACATATATATATAATATATTTATAATTTGTGTGATATGTATTTCCATAATGTATGGAAAAGATGTTTTGGAGGACAGTAACCTTAGATTTAAGAAAATTGACATTATAATTTTAAACCTTGTCTGCACCATTAACAAACATAGGCTTTAGCTCTTCTAATCCCTTGAATTTTTATAACAACTTTTAAAAACTGCAAAATATTCATAGACTTTTTAAAAAATCAAATTATTTCTTAGATCTTTTGGAAAAGGAAAAAGAAACTGTATAGTGTTTTTATTAGGTTCAGATAGCAATGCATAACTATGTTTCTCTTTTTAAAGTCATAATATATATAAAATATTAAGCATTTTTCTATGGATTTTTTTTATGCAGAAGGTTTTTTTTTTAATATATATATAAAGCCCTGAAGCAACTTATAAATTTCATCACTGGTCTTTACACATGTTGGCAGTCACACATGTGAAATATATGTTTGAAATTTGTTTAATTACTTTGACATTTAGTATTATAATAAGCATTTTTACCTAATACATAAAGGAATACATTAAAGGGAATCCAATACCAGAGTTATCCTCTCATCATTAAGCAGAAAGGATGTATGTGTTTTAAAATTACATGCCATACCTGAGTTGTCTTCAAATGTCATTTAATTTACCATTTCGTTCATTTTAAAATGGTCATAGTTTTTTTCATTCTCCCTGACTCTTAATTCGTTAGATACTAACCATCCACTCCAACAACCATAATCAATTCCAATTTACATCAAAATAATTTAAAATTGATCAAAGAACCAATTGCATAACCTAATTTTCAAAAGCATTATGCTGCCAATATATAGTAGTAATATAATACATTTCTAATATTGTCAATCTAAATTGATTTTTAAAAAGTGTTTAACACATGCCTGACACAAAAAGTGCTTGCTAAATGTATGGTCACGTCTTTGAGACTATCATTTTCTTGGCAACTATTTCGATTCTATTAAAGATTAATAGAATTGTAGTTAGGGTGACCATCTGTCATAGCTAGTTTGGAAGAATCCTGGTTAATGTCTATTGTCTTAATGCTCTTCAACTTAACATTTAGCACTCCAAAGTATCTTGATTTGGAGGATAAATCATATGGTCACCAATTTATCACTGCAAGGTGTTAGGGAAATGCACCCCCCACCCCCAGTCCCCATAACGGAAGCCTAGCTTGCAGCAAGAACTGGCCTTGAACTCAATAGAAATTTGCCCTTCCCCGAAATCTCCTTAGACCAAAAATGTTAACCCCGCCCTTTGAAGAAGCAGCAGCGGCTGTTCCAACTAGAGACTGTCCCTGCTTTATAAAACCCCTTGCAAATTTCTACAGGAGCGGCACTCCGCTGTTGTGGTGTCCGGTGGCAGTGGGCTCCAATAAAGCTTTTTGTTATGTGCGGTGCGGTCTTTTTTCTTGGCAGTTAAACCTTACACAAGTTCCAGCGGTAAGTCTACAGTATGGTAATCATCTATGGATTCCAGCTGAACTCTATGCAGGTCCCATGACAGGCTGAGTAGCTCTCCAAGTAAGGGAATGTGTACTTAAAACTGGTATAATTATTCCAATGCCTCTCTCCCCTTTCATGTTAAGATGAGATTCAGACAACACTTAAGGAACGGAAACTACAGATACTTACCTTTCTTTTCCTGTGGTAGACAGGGTGAACTAGAACTATAGTGGTCACAATTGTTTGTAGATTTGGCTTCTGTTGCTGCTGTGATTTCTCAATATATTCCAATTTCTAATTAAGTTTTTTAACTTGAAATTGTGCTTTATTCTGTCACCTAAATCTTTATGGCAAAGCCAAATAGATATCACGTGAAAATCAGTCTTTTTTACTATTCTACATTAGAGAAAGCTTAGTGGTGGCTTCAAAACTCCCAGATTTACTACTGGCTACATAATTTGTGGAATTCACTGTAAGTTGAAAATGTAGGGTGCTTTGTTAAAAGATTATTGAGTCTTTTAATATGATAACAGTGGAGCATTCAATCAAGCATGGAGTCCTTCTATGACTAAGACTCTCATGATTTCATAGAGCTTATACCTATGCAGTTGGCTCTGCTTGAATCTCTCATCTAATGGTTTCTTTCAATTTCTTTTCAAACAATTATGGACCATTATTTTGTGTGTTCATTAGCATAGATGAATTTACTCATGGCTGGGAATGGATGATGCTAGTAAAGGTGTTGACAGAGGTTTTAGGCAAAGGCTTAACTCAGACAGCTCAAGGAACTGGGCAGGTATGATACCACAGACAGTAAAACCATCAGGTAGTGACTGACTACATGCCT